ATCGTTTTGGGAAAATTATACTACCAGTCCTTCATCACCTTAGACGAAATAGGGTGAATACATCTCATTATAGTGATAATGAAACCGTTTCGGTAGAATGTTGTTCGAGGGATTGACTTCAATTGTCTCTTTAACGAGTTTGTAGCTTCGTGCGGAGAATGGCAAAACTGACTGATGATGTCGACTACGATGCCGGCGAAACGTTTGAGAATGTACCAAACCCACCGTCTGGCGCTGGGAATCATGACAACTACTATGGCAGACGACTTCGGACTAGGTGCGTTCCATTAAGTCGCCTTGACAACAAGACCAATTTGCGACAGCGAGGTCAACCAGAGACCACAACATCTTGGTATTCATATCTTCAATTCACATTTTTAAGATGCGTATTCCGCCTCAGCCTCAATATCACGGCCATCCTATTTGTCGGCATGTATGGGTCTTTTTTAAATGCTGAATTTCACTAAATTACTTTTAAACATTGGTTTGGTTTATTGTATTCAGTACCTGATCATTTAATCGGACAAGTCGCACGTTTCAGACTTCTGACCAATTGGCTTTGAGCGCTAGGTTGCCTTCACCTTTCCAGAAACTCTTGAGCCTGTCCCATTCTGAGGAGTGGTTTCCTGCTGCGTCATGCTTCGTCTCCTCACGAGTCGGTAAAGGTAAAGGATCCACGCTGGGCGCTTCTGCCCGATTGAATTGTCAGAGACAGTCTTTTTGTAGCTTGAATGTATTGCTTATTGTGCACTGTCTATTTGTACTACTTAATATAATATTTTATTCTACTTATTTACACTTGCCTTTGTCATGTGCTAATTTATCATATTTTCAGGTGAATGGAATAGATCTGCTTCATGCCGATCACGACGAGGCTGTCGAGGTGTTGAAGAATGCCGGCCAGCGAGTCCTTATCGTTTTGCACAGATACCTGGGCCCAAGCCCAGCCTCCTCTACCGCTGGGCCCGGTTGACGCTCGGCTTGTCCTGTCTCCTAATCCGCACAACTTTGCCCCGGGGTAGCGTGGTAGGGTGCTGAACCCTGCGATGCCGGCTTGTCCTGTTACCAAAGCTTGCGTCACCTCGGCCACCCCAGACTCTGTTTGGCAGAAGTCAAGTACTCGTTTCTCTAGGCTTACGAACGTGTCTGGCTATCACATTTGTCAATTTATCATATGACTTTGGTCAAATTTACTGTCAAGTCGCATTGTTTCTAAGACGGTTTCAGTTGGTCATCCTTGCTTTAGTTGTCATGGCTAATAAATTTCTTCAAATCATCTTCTTTCCAATCAAGGCCCAGGGCTGGAGCGAATTGCTATTTCATTCTGGCAGCAGATTGCTTAAAAAAGTCTCGCATTTTTCATCTAACTGTCTACTTATTCTGTTTTTCTGCCCGACGACATATCAATTTTTCTATATTTTTGCTACCAGAATCATTATTTCTAGTTTTGCAGGTGGTTTTCATTGTCCAACAAGCAAGGAAAGTGCATCTTAACGTCCTTCTCAAGTGTGTATCTTCCCAATAATTGGGGAAAAAATCCTTTAACGTTTTCCGTTAACATTTATTTTCGAAATCGTTTTTTCTTCTTAGCAGTGCTAAATCTCTAAGAACATCAATTATCCTGAAGGAACTTGAATCTTACCTAAATACATAATGAATAAATGGTGGCTTGCGGTGAGAATATATACCAAATGGCTAATTTTCCAAACGACCTGTATTTAGTGCCAAGATCGCATTAAACTATCTAAGAAATGATAGGGCAATCTGTTCAAACAATCAAATAAAGACGCCGCAGGATGCCAATAAATTTCATTCATCCTTCACTCTAAAGAACT